GGGGAGGGCGGCGGTGGGGAGCGCAGCGAGGGCTGAGCGGGGGAGGGACCCAGTCCCAGGTGGGGGCATGTGACAGCGCCACGCAGACCGGAGGGGACAGACTGGAAGCCATGAGGTGTGTGTGACTGTGGGGGAGCGGGGGAGGGTGGTGCAGGGCCAGGGTGGGGACTGGAGGGTATTTCCTCTTCATCTGCCTTCGAGTTATTTCCAAAGCTGCCACCACCTCCGGCTTCCTGTGGGGCGAGGCCCCGTCCCACCCAGGTCCCCAGCGACCCTGCCTGGGCTCCAGGCGTCCCCAGCCTCCCACACAGAGGCTGCTGCCTCCAGCTGGCCTCCTGGGCTGCCGCCGTGACGCCCAGGCCCCACTGTGGCCCTGTGGGCAGGTGTCTGTCCCTCTGGCCTTACAGTCTTTCTGCCAATAAAGAGAGAGCACGAGGGGAGAGAGACGGAGAGATGACAAGGGCCCCGGGAAATCTATAAGCCCCTGGAGGACACAGGCAGGAGCGACCGCTGTGGCTGGTGGGTCAGAGAGAGGCCGCCAGGGGGCAGGAAATGGCCTGGCAGGCGCCGGAAGCCCAGAAGGCCCAAAGCTGCCCAGGAGCCCTGAATAGAAGCTTCCGTCTGCTGACACAAGATTTCAGTGCAGGGCCGGGCTGATCTGGGCAGCCCCGGTGGTTGAGACAAGATTCCATCTGTTGGAAACCAGGGAGGATCCCGGTGTTCGAGGCCCTCGCGGTCCCTGGGGTCAAGTCTAGCCACTCACATCCGGGACAGAACAGGGACAGGGGCCAGGCCCCCGACCAGCCCGTCAGGCCATGCCCAGGTGTGTTCTGGGCTAACCTCAGCCCCCGCCCTGGCCCCAAAATAGCGGTGGGGAAACCCAGCTCAGCATGTGACTCAGCTCGCCAGGCCCCAGGGTGCGGGGCTGGGGCGGGGCTGGGGTCCCAGAAGCTCTCATCCTACACGAGCCCCACACCTTCCCTGAGCACCCACTGTGCCCAGGGAGCCCCTCGGGGAGCCGTGATGCAGACCAGGGCCGCATCCCTCCTCAGGGGGGGCTTCCCAGAGGAAGGGCATGGTTCGCTGGGCCTGGAGGTTACAGTAGGAGTTTGCCAGGCAGGGCAGCAGGCAGCCTGAGTGAGTGCTATGCGGGGAGGGCCGTGAGCCATTTCGCAGCAGCGGCGGGGCCCCGCAAGCCGGTATTATGGTCCCCATCCCACCGACAAGGAGACAGAGGCACAGAGAGGTTGAATGGCTTGCCCAGAGGCACACAGTTGGCAAGAGGCAGAGTGGGATTGGCAGCCCTGTGCTGTGGGCCCCAGGTTGTGTGGGGCAGGGGGTGGGGGTGGGGGGCTGCTGTAAGAGCCTTCGAGTCACGGGGGGGGGGTGGGCCGGAGGCCAGAGACTTGCTGTGCAACCTTTTGGGGGATCCCTGCCCTTCTCTGGGCCTCAGTTTCCACATCAGCAAAATGGGGGAGTAAGTAGGCGAGGTAGCCACGAGCTGAGTGACGCTGGCGTGGAGAGAGGGGAGTTCTAGGGGCTTCGGCAGGTGCGTCTCCCGCACCCTGTCCTTCAAGCCACTTGAGGACCAGCCCTGCCTTCTCCTGATGGGGGCAGGGCTGGCCGCCTCAGAGGGTGTGGTTGTCAAAGCCTTTGAGGGTGACGGCCGCCCACACACTGACGCCTCCTGTGGGGTTTTGTGGGCTCTTTGGAGACACGGGGGCCCTCAGGAAACACCCACTCGGGGCCCCGCTGGGCCCCTGCTCCCGAAGGCGCCTGCGCCTGTGTCCTCCTGGGGGCTTCTGGGAGGAGCTCCCTTCCCCCCGGGCCCCCGGGCCTCCCAGCTCGGCCACCGAACTCCAGGGACCCGGGCCCCGCTTTCCGGACGGTTGCCTTGAGCCGCCACACTCAGCAGCCGTCTTCACCGCCTCCCCTCCCGGGAAATCCGCTGGGAGATGGGCTCGGGGTCCCCACCAGTTTGGGGACGGCCATGGGCTAAGCCTCCCTTCTGGGTGTGGGCCCCGCAGAAGCAGTGCGTGTGGCCCAGGACTTTACTTCTGAGCGGGGAGCGGGCAGGGAAAGAGCCAGGCGGCGGGGGTGGCTTGTCCAGACGGCCGCAGCTGGCGGGGACGGACAGGACAGGCCCCCCAGAGCGGCCCATCCGGGCCCATCCACCTGCTCCAGTCAGAGAATGTTCTGGGGGCCCCGCCCGCCCGGCACACAGGCCTGTGTTAGTCGCCAGACAGAAGCCCCAGGGCCGAATCCTGGCGTTCGCACCTGGCCCAGCACCGCGTGGCGTGGGGACAGGGGACGTGGCGGGACACCACCGGCGCCTGCCGCCCCGCCCACCGCCCTTGCTCTGGGCCTCAAGGGCTCGTCAACATCCTGACACAACAGGAAAAGTCCCACCTCACGTCCGCCCCCTGTGCCAAACTCGGACTCAGGAAACGTTGCTGAAAGAGGGAAGGGAAACGTTACAGGGAATGGCGTCTCTGGACCCCACCCAGGGTCGGTCGTGGTGTCGCCACGAGACTGTGGCCGCTCTGTGCCTCAGTTTACCCAGAAGAACAATGAAGGGCCCAGCCAGAGGCCATCTGGACGCTACAAGGGTGGGCAAGGCCCAAAGAGGCCGGGGCTGCGTGGGCCGCCCGGCACGATGGGCAGGCCTGGGGGAGAAGCCGAGTCCCAGCCTTTTGCCTCCAGGGGCAGAGGGGCCGTGGGGGTCTCCCAGGACTCGAAGCACTTACCAAGCACTTCTGCATACCCAGGTCTATGTGTACCTGTGAGAAATACTCCAGGCGGCCTCAGTCTGTGCATCTGTGACATGGGTGCAGGGAACGATCTTTCCTCAGCAGACCAAAGCTGCTAGTGCTTTTGCCATCCGTTTTTCTAGTTTTCTCACTTTTCCGAATCTATCATCTAAAAGAGAAGAGCTCAGGGGCGCCTGGGTGGCTTAGTCGGTTGAGCGTCCGACTTTCGCTTAGGTCATGATCTTGTGGTTCGTGGGTTCGGGCCCTGCGTCGGGCTCTGTGCTGACTGCCAGCTCGGAGCCTGGAGCCTGTTTCAGAGTCTGTGACTCCCTCTCTCTCTGAGCCTCCCCTGCTCACGCTGTCTCTCTCTCCTAGAAATAAATAAAACATTTTAAAAAATTAAAAAAAAAATAAAAGAGAAGAGCTCAGCTGGGGTTGGCCAGGTTGAGGTTCCCTAAGTTTTGATTTTTCTCATTTCGGAAGTGTCTGCTTGCCTGGCATGGTGGGAAGCCTTGGGCTCGGGAGCCAGAATGCTGAGATTGGGTCCCAGCTCCTGCCGCCATGGCGTGTACCCCTGGGCTCGTCGCTGTGCAGTTCCGAGCCTCGGGCTCCTCATCTGTGAAATGGGTGCAACCACATCTCGTTGGGCGCCCGGCACAGGGAGCTGGGGGGACACTGGCGTGGCCCTCCCTCACTCACCCCTCTCTCTGCAGGTGGTACTTGGGGAGGATTTCCCGGCAGCTGGCTGAAGAGATTCTGATGCAGCGGAACCACCTAGGGGCCTTCCTGATCCGGGAGAGCGAGAGCTCCCCAGGGGAGTTCTCTGTCTCTGTGAAGTGAGTTCTAACCCGCTCGGGCGCACAGAGAAGGGGAGCAGGGAGGCGGCTTTGGAGCTGAGACTGGAAGCCCAGGACTTGGGCTCATAGAGGTGGAGAGAGTCACCTCCCTGAGGGGACAGCAGGCAGAGCCTGGGGGGGGGGGCAGGGAATGACACGCACCCCAGCGTGTGGTCCAGAGTGGTGGGAATGTGCTCAGAAAGTGGGTTGGGGCTGCCTGTGAGGCCTCGAGTGCCGGCGCCGAGGGTCTGGAGGTTATTCTCTGAGCAGTAAGGAGCCACCATCCACCTGTCATGAGGAGAGGAAGAAGGATATGATGGGAGCGACCAGGGGCGGGAGAGCAGCGAGGCCCCCAGGACAGGTGTCTGGGGTGTGCTGTGGCCAGGGTCCCGCCCTGTGGTGCTGTGATTGGCCGCCTGCGTTCAAATCCTAGTTCTTTCTTTTCCTGTCTGTGTGACCTGGGGCAAGTGACTTACCCTCTCTGTTCCTGTTTCCTCTGATGTGAAATGAGTAATTGCAAGAAATATATGAATATATATATATGTATACTCATATTTAGAGCGACTAGAATAGTGCCTGACATTGAAGCGGGGTCACTGTAATGGGAGGGTCTGGCTTTGTGACTGGCAGCTCCTCGGGCGTGGCACGTCAGCCTCTGGGCAGCGCAGAACCCAATCCCAAAGGCCACAATGAGGGCAATGGAGGAATCCAGGCTGGAAGGTAGAAATAGGAAGAGGCATCGGGGGCGAAGGAGCCTGGTCTCTGTGCTTCCTGGTCTCAGTACCTGGGACAGCAGGATACTGATGCCTACATTCAAGGAAGATTCGTTGAGCTGCATGTCAGGCTGGGGAAATGACAGTAAAAATACCAAAGTAGCTGCCCATATGGGTTTATGTCCTGGTGGGAAAGACTGACGGCAAACAAGGAAGCAGAGGAATACAGCAGGAGTCAAGGTGGTCAGAGACGGCCTCTCTGAAGAGGTAGCATTTGAACAAAGATCTGAACTTGGGAGTGGAGGCTGCCCAGGTCGCTGGGAATGCGGACCTGGGAGGAGAGATTTCTTTTTTTTTTTTTTTTATATGGATAATTTTATTTTATTTTTTTTACAAATAATTTATTGTCAGATTGGTTTCCATATAACACCCAGTGCTCATCCCCACAAGTGCCTTCCCTGGGAGGAGAGATTTCTAGGCAGAGGGAACAGCAAATGCAAAGGCCCTGAGGTAGGAATGCACTTGGGGCGTGTTGGAGTCCACAGGGGGTGGCGTGATTGGAGCAGACAAGCAAGGGGGGACAGGGTGAGGGATGCAGTCAGAGAGACGGAGCTGACAGATCCTGACAGGGAGGTCGAGTTTTCTCTGGGAGCAATAGGGAGCCACAGAGGGCCTTGAGCAGGGGCAGATGTGATTGGCTTCCGTTTTGCGGCAGATCCTTCTGGCTGCTGTGAGGAGGAGTGATGGCTGGGAGTAAGCGGGAGCACTCAGAGGCCAGCGAGGAGCCAGGCAGGAGGTGACGGTGTCTGGGACTGTGGTGGGGGCTGAGGACACAAAAAGGGACCGGATCGGGGAGTGGTGTGGGTCTGCGAAGTCAGGGCCACCGGCAGTGCCTGCGACTGGCAGGGTGTGCGTGGGAGGCGCCCACTGTGCCAGCTTTCCTGTCACTGACGGCAGTATCGGTGTGGCAAGGCTGCCCTCGGGGGGTAGGGAAGAGGCAGTGGACCGCGGAGCTCAGCAGCGTGGCCCCTAAGGGGGCCGTTTTCCCGGGACGGGGTTGGTTCGCGGCCAATGGCTTGATTGTCCGAAGGATGAATGCACACGGGGCCACTTTGTTGGTTACTGCGGGGCCGGGGGTGAGGGGGGTGGGACATGTGAGGGGGCGCTGGGGTCCAGGGAACCCCGATGAAGCAGAGAAAGAAAGACACGGACAGGGAGGCTGCAGGGTGCCCCCGGGAGCCCCAGACGGGCTGGGCCATCGTGGCCAGTGCGAGGATCCCTGTTTGGAGGTCAGTGCCTTCCAGGCTGTGAGGCCCTGGGGTGCCTCTGTGACAGGTGTGCAGCTGGCCCTTTCTGCGAAGAGCTCACGGTGGTGTGGGACTTGCACGCGGGAGCCCTGCAAGGAGGTCACCCCCCGCCCCCCGTCTGGGCCTGGAGGCTCCCGCATGGGGAGGGCTGCTGTGCTCAGGAAGGCTGCTGGTGTGTGTGTGTGTGTGTGCATGCAAAATGACCCAATGTCATCAGAGTTCTTGGCACTTCCCTGATCCCCTCCAAGCTATGCGAGCGGCCATGGGCTCCTTTTACTTCCCTTCCGCCTTGACCTGCGGGGAACAGGCTGGTTATCCCTGGGGATGGGGATGGCTCTGGCCCCTCTTTGAGCCTCTCTTTCCCCATCTTAAAAATGGGAGCACTGTCAGTGTGCATGTGGGGGGATGTTGTGAGTTCTTAGCCCTGACCCATGCCCCCCCCGCCCCAAAATGGTCGTGGGCATCTGGAGTGTCCCCTGGGTCACCTTCCCACTTCCACAGTCCAGCCTCCTCTCCCCGGGGTCCCAGCAAAAGCAGGAATCGGCAATTTTCCCTGTGCTGGGTGTCCAAGGGACATCTGGGAAGGGGGCCACCAGGTGGGCTGGTCCAGCTTCGAGTGGCTCCTGGAATCAGTTCCAAGATCACCTAGCAGACCAGGAGCATAGGGGACTCGCTGGGACAGCTTCTGCTGAGGGGAGGCGGTGGCCCTCCCAACCCCTACCCTGCCTCTCCCTCCTCTGCCAGCAAAGCACACTACCAACGCCTCCATGCACTGCCCTCTTCTGGCGATTCTTTGTAAATGCAGCCCCGCTGGTGCACATGCGCAGGTTGATGCGAACGCGGAGGCCTGCCGTGTGTGTGTGTGTGTGTGTGTGTGTGTGTGTGTGTGTGTGTGTGTGTGTGCGCGTGCGTGTGCGTGTGCGCGTGCGCGACAGAGGGGAGGGGAAGGGAGGGGAGAGGAAAGGAAGGGAGGGGAGGGGAGGGGTGGAGAGGGAACCACGGAGTGGGACTGGAAGAGGAGTCAAACCGAGGAGTGTGGTGGGAAGGTAGACCCGGCCTGGCCCGGGGGTCTCCGTGATGAGTGAATAAATCAGGGAGATTCCGTGACAGGGGACCCATTCCACATGGTGAAGGAGGTGACACCTGAGCCGGGCCCTGAAGCCTGAGAGGGGTTTGGTGCACAAAGAGAGGAGAGGCATGTCAGCACAAGGACCGGCATGTGCAGAGTCCGGGAGTTGGGGTGGGGACGGTGGGTTTGGACGGCAACAAGTCTGACCAGGAGGGGGAGGTAGGCGGTACTAGGAAGTAGGTTTTGAGCTGGGGAGCCAGCACCAGTGTCCTGGGAAAACGTCTGGGAGCGTCCTTCGGAGAAATCCTCGCACATGCCCTTGCACGCGTCCCCCAGGGCGTCCGGGCCAAGCGCCCCCAGGTCAGAACCGGCAGGAGCTTCTGGGCACCTAGCTCAGGGCTCAGCTAGCTGTGGTTTGCGCACAGCGCCACCAGGGGGCGTCCTCCACCCTCGGTTGCATCCCAGCTGAGCCGGGGCTCCTCCGGTCCTGCTCCCGTTCTTGGCCCATTGTCTCTCATAGGGACCTTTCGGTGGCCCTTGGAGGGTCACAGGACAGGGGTTAGAGTTGGAAACAGAGTCAGAGAGGGTCTACGGCTAGGGGCGTGGCTTCTGAGCAAGAGTCTCAGCTGCGGTACCTGCTAGCTGTCTACACCTCAAAAAGTGCCAGTTATATCCGTTATTATATTACCCTCTACGGCCCCCCACCCCCCAGTGCTTCCCAGTCCCCCGTCCCACGAGCCCAGGGCTGCTGGAGAAGGGACAGCGACATGGAGTGGCAGGGAACCCGGTCCTCGTCCTGACTGTGCTCAGAGCCCCCTGGAAGCCCCGGGCAGGTCGTGGCTTTCTCTCACTGTCGTGTCCTCACCCACAACACGGAGACAGAAGCCCCAGGTCGTGAAGCCCAGTGACTCAATGGCCGCCCAGAAAGTGACAGGTGTGCAGATTCCTGTGTGAGAGCGTTTCCGCCCGCGTTGGCTTGGCTCTTGGGGACTCTGACCCCATCACACGTGGCGTCTCCCGCATGCTCACGCCAAGCCCCATAAAGCTGTCAGAGGTGGGGTTTATGGGCCCTGGGCTGCCTTGCGGAGGGAGAGCGGCCATGGCTGGCCACCGTTTATGAGTTTACGAAGGGCTGTCTGCCACCCCTCCCCGGGGCGTGTCTGAGCTGGCAGCCAGCAAGCCTGGACGAGGCTTGTGTCACTTCTGTCCCCCACTCCCAGCCAGCCTCCTGTAGACTCCTCTGCGGTAAATGGCAGGTCGTTCCCGAGGGAGGTATTTTGCTTCTGTTCAGGCCAAAGCTGCCCTGGAGTCAATGCACATACGTTTGCCCTGGTCACTGAGCCCGTAGTGTGTGCCAGGCCTTGTCGCAGGCACTTGGGTTCGGCCATGAACAAAATAGGACAAGGCTCCCTGTCCTTCAGGCGCCCATTTCTGCTGGGGTGACAGACACGAAACAATGATACAAATTACATAAAATCTTGGAAGATGATAAAAGCTCTTGGGAAGATGAAGCAGTAAAGACCTAACGGCAGAAGGTGGAGGGTGCGATACTGTGCAGGCAAAGACAGGGAAGAAGTAATCCTCAGAAGCCGAGCTGGCAGGAAACGGAAGCTCAGAGAGGTGCAGCAACTTACCCGAGGTCACACAGCAAGGAAGAGCGGAGCAAGGGCCCGCTGACCGTCTGCGCCCTGAGAGACCCACGTGTCCTGAGTCCCAAAGACCCACTGGTCCCTGCCAAGGTCCCTTTGATTCCATTGCATGTGTGCTGTGGTCCATGTATTCCATGGCTGGAGAAGGCCCGTGCCCAGCCGGGGGAGTCCTGGGGCTCCTGACCTTGCCCCAGCCTTGTTTATCCTATCCCTTTGCTGCTGCTGCCACCAGGCCAGAAAAACCGGCCGGGCAGGACAGGCTGCTGGTAGCATCAGGCCTCACTTGGTCCTTGAGGCTTTTGTGACAGCCCAGAGGCCAGGCTCTGCCCCTCGTCCCCCCACCCACAGTAAGGAGGCGTGGGGGTCACACACAGAGACAAGCACGGTGGCTGCACAGAAAGGGACTGGTGCATATGGGCACTCTCGTGGGGCAGAGAGAGATGTCCCCCTCACCCCCCACACCCCTAGACACGATAGACACGGACACCAGGCACTCTCAGGCCACGATACTCACGCAGACACCCTGGGCACTGCCCGTTGTCGTGGACCAGCTGCAGATGCCCCGTCCTCTGGCCTCGCCCAGGTTTAGACCCCTCCCTGGCCGCCCTTCCCTCCTCCGGCTCAGGAGGGCTCACCCAGCGGGGCTGTCTGCCCTCAAGCCATCCCCCCGCCCAGTTCAGGGGTCATCTGGTCCCCTTTGTGCCCTTGAACTCCCCTGGGCCTGGGGGTGAGGCTCGAGGTCTGGAGAGTCCACAGTGGGTCTGCGGGGTTCCCAGACACCTCAAGGCTCCCCCCGGGCCTTGAAGGATAGCTGAGGTCAAGGCCACAGTGGAAAGGGAAGATGGTCCTGGGGAGACTGCAAGCAAGCGCCCCACGAGCCTGGAAGTAGGCTGGCTAGAGAGGGTCAGGCGGCCCCAGACGCGGAGCCCTCAGGGCCGCCCGATGGAAGTGGGGTCACTGATCGGAAGGGGCCCCCCTGCCTTCCATGGCTGCCCCTGGCTGTGGGCAGGCCTCTCTCCTTTCTGCGCCCCGCTCTCCTCACGACAGAGCAGGAAGGTTGGACCAGGTGGGAGAAGGGACAGACCTGCCATTCACTGAGGACCTACTATGTACCACATGCAGGTGAGGGGCTGGAACATGCAAGCTTCCCAGATTTGAGAATTCTCCCAATTCTCAGACGGGAAGGTTCTAGAGCTCCTGGGTCCCTTCCCCCTTTCCTGTCGCATGTCCTGTTCTCTGCTCGCCGACCCTCCTGTGTGATCAGGGGGTACCTGGTCCTGGCTAACTTTCCCGGTCCCTAGAGATAACCTCCAAGCACCAAGGTCAACGTTGTGATCAGATGGGGTCCAGATCCTTTTCTTCTCCTTTTTTTAAAAAATTTTACTGTTTATTTTTATTTTTGAGAGAAAGAGAGACAGATCGCAAATGGGGAAGAGGCAGAGAGAGAGAGACAGAATCTGAAGCAGGCTCCAGGCTCTGAGCCGGCAGCACAGAGCCCGACCGAGAGATCATGACCTGGGCTGAAGTCTGGAAGCTGGACGCTTAATGGACTGAGCCACCCAGGTGTCCCCCCCGGAGACCATTTTCACAGCCACCACACGCTTATCTGCCCCCTTCCCCGAAGGGGAGGGCTGCCCATACCCCAGGCTCCTCCTTCTGCCCCCGCACCGGGTACCCAGGCAGGAGCCCTTCTCCTGGCTCCTCACTTGCCCAGCTTCACTGCTGGTCCTCACTGTGCTGCTGGGACAGACGCTCCTCCCTGAGCACCGGTGCCAGAGTCCAGGGGCCGGGAACCCCATCCCGCAGGGACAGGGCACTAGGGCGTCATGGGGCTTAGAGGTGCCTCGAGGGGTGGGGGTGGCCCCTGGGAGGCTGCGTCGGGCCAGGCAGGGCAGGGAGCCCCGTCCGTCCGCCCGCCGCCCTCGTTCCGCCCCAGGAACACGGACGTGCATGTCCCACGGCTGGCCGGCCGACAGCATGAGCGGCTTAGTCACCTGAGAACAATGCCCGCTGACGGCACACGAGCGGCTTTGTCTGCGTCTTGGGGATCGGTGCCCCAGCTGGTCCCAGAACTAGCTCGCCTCGGAGCTAAGCTGCCCCGAGATCTGCGTGCGTCTTAGAGAGGGGTCAGGCCTATTCCAGGGTCAGGACACCTGGAGGGCTGTGGTCGCAGCTCAGAGCAGACAGGACAGCAGCGGATTTGAAGAGCAAAGCACCTGATGAGCATGTAAGCCTTGGGCCTTGGCGCTTCATTCCCGGAGCCGGGCCTCTCCCAGCCGAGCCAGACCCTCAGGGCCCACTCCTGCCGCCCAGCCTTTCCGGAGTCTAGTACGCAAGCCCTTATGTGCAGTGCGTTGGAAGAAGGCTGTACAAGGGGCTGAGGGGCCCAAGGAGACCTCTGACTCTGACTGAGTTTGGGCCATTTTACCGGGGCTTTGAAGCCTGAGTAGGAGCCTGACTCGAGAAGAATTTGGGGGAAATTGTGTAGGCAAAGGCCCGGAGGGGAGGTATGTTGGAGTGGAGAGAGAGGTCTGTGTGGTCTGGACCCCACGGGCAGGGTGGGAGGCATCCCACCCTGCCCAACCCCCCATCCCCGACACATGCGTAGAAGAGATTTCCCTTGAACAACTCTCGGCCTTCAGTCTTTGATCTCAAACCTTTAACCAGGCACCATGCCGGCCCCAGGACTGATGGTGGAGGAAGTGAATCATGGGCAAGGATGAAACCGCAGGAGGCCGGGCAGCTCTGGGTGGCAGATCATGTGCCAAACATTGGACCGTGGGCCTATCGTGGCCAGTCCGCGAGCCAAGTCTGGCTGACAAAATTGTTTGACATGATTTTGATTTTTTTATTGTTTATTTATTTATTTTTGAGAGAAACAGAGAGAGAGAGAGAGGCAGAGAGAGAGCACGCACAAGTCGGAAAGGGGCAGAGACAGAGAGAGGGAGACACAGCATCCAAAACAGGCTCCAGGCTCTGAGCTGTCACCACAGAGCCCGACGTGGGGCTCGAACCCATGAACTGCGAGATCATGACCTGAGCTGAAGTTGGACACTTAACCGACTGAGCCACCCAGGCACCCCTATCATGATTTAAATTTAGAACCCAGGAGGTGTTTTTTTTCTTTTTATCATCAAGTCTCCAGACCACTGTTTGGCTCTCAGTTAGTCCCAGACAGAATGAGAACACAGCCTGCGGCCCGGTGGCCATCCTGTGCCCCTCACACGCATGCCCGGCCACGCCCACGGGTCCCCTGGCCTTCTGGGCTCTCAGCTCCACCACCCACCTGGGCAGGAAGCCCTTCCACGGGCAGGTTCCTAAGCTGGCTTCTTCCTGCTGGGGGGCCGGGGTTCTGTGTTCTCCCCAAAGCCACCAGAAGAGTCCTCATCTCCAGGGAGCATGTCGGTGCCCCCCATTGGGCAGGTGAGGAGGCCAAGCCCCAGCGGCCCAGGTGAGCTACAGAGCAAGGAAGGATGGCTGCAGCTTTTTGGCCAGACACAGAGGATGAAGGGAAGGCTTCCTGGGGGTGGCAGCCCAGGGAACACGTGGTGCAGTAGCAGTTCTGGACTGGGACCGACGAGGTCAGGGACATTATCAATATCACACTTGGGATAATTATCACTGCTATTGTTGTACAATGAGAACCAATGGGGGGCATGCTGGAATGACACTTGACATGTGGGAGCTCGGATGTGGCCCCAGCTCCTGTTTTTGTTGCTGTGTGTGACCCTGGGGAGGTCACGGTTTGCACTCAGGGCCTCAGTTTCCCCATTGTGCAAAGGGCCTGATTTGCACCTTCTGGGCCACGTGGTGGGTCCGGCCACCCCTGTGGAAGGGAGAGGTGCCACCTAGGTTTGTGTTGCCTGTTGTCCTAACCCATGTCGGCCCCACCCCCGTCCCAATCCATCATGGCCTGTCCTGGCATATGGGACCTGCTGCATGTGGGAAGAGAGTATACGAAACGTGTGAAGAAATGAGGCTGGGCGTGTAATCAGAGCCAGATCTTCAGTCCGAGGTGTTAAGATTTTATACTGAGGGCAATGGGGAGCCATAGCAGGTTCTTGAGGTAGGGGGCAGCTAGAGATACGAAGCATCCACACACCTGAGCTCCTGTCCCACTGGCAGGCTCTGGTCACTTCAAGGGACAGTGAGGGCCGGGAGGGCGCTAGGGGAGAATGTCACAGCTGAGGTGCATGCTGAAGATGTGTGAGAAGAGGAGCCCGTTTCTTTCTTTATTTTTAATGTTTACCTCCTCATTTTGAGAGAGAGAGGGAGAGAGAGAACGAGTGGGGGAGGAGGGAGGAGAGAATCCCAAGTAGGCTCTGCGCTGTCAGCGCAGAGTACAAGCCAGGGCTTGAACCTACGAACCCTGAGCTCATGATCTGAGTGGAAATCAAGAGTCAGATGCTTAGCCAACTGAGCCACCCAGGCGCCCCCCCGCCACACACACTCCGAGAGGAACCCACTTAACGCTGCCCATTAACCACGGGCAGCATTTTCTGAACGCTTTTCCAGAAGGAAGATGCTACCATTATACAGAAGCTGAGGTTTAGAGAAGTTCAATGATTTGCCTAAGGTCACACAGCAACCAAGCGGCGGGCTCCAGCCAGGGGATTCAACGCCTGCAACTTCTCCCCCGACTGCAGGTCTCAATCAGAGGCAGAGGGGCGAGCTTCCCAGGTGGGGGCAGAAGGAAGGCCCCGGGGCTGTGGGGCAGGCACAGGGCCCCCCTCTAAGGCTGCTCCTCGCCCCCCCAGCTACGGCGACCAGGTCCAGCACTTCAAGGTGCTGCGCGAGGCCTCGGGGAAGTACTACCTGTGGGAAGAGAAGTTCAACTCCCTGAATGAGCTGGTCGACTTCTACCGCACCACCACCATCGCCAAGCAGCGGCAGGTGTTCCTGCGGGATGAGGAGCCCCTGGTCAAGGTAGGCAGGCGGCCTGTGTATGCCTGCGAGCCAGCTGCCATCCGCGGGCGTGCGGGGGGAGGGGCGGGACACCTGCCCCGCCACCTCCCATCCCGCCTCCCCCACCTGGCAGCCCCGCCTCCAGCCCAGGCTCCAGTGCCACTCTGGTGGCGCTGCAGTGAGACAAACAAGGGTGGGACAGCCGCTGTCTGGCTTGCTCTCAGCTCCCGGCGCAGTGCACAGATCACAGTGCTCCCTCCGTGTTAATTCCAAAGAATGGAGGTACCCACGCCTGCTGAGCGTACTGAGTGCCGTGCACTGAGCTGGGCTTAGTCTGCTGGGGGCCCCATCGGGGAGGAAACTTGCACAGGTGAGGAAACTGAGGCTCACCAAGGCCACCCACCGGGTAGGCTCAGTCTTAGTTTCTAGCCCCAGGGAGCTGGTCCTGGGTGGGGTGGGGGCAGTGTGAGCACTTGCGGGAGAGGTCCTGGCTGGGCGCAGGGTGTGTGTGTATGTGTGTGTGTGTGTGTGGTGGGGGCTGTCCGGCCGCCGCTGGTCCTCACGACAACAGCAATTTGCTAGCCAGCCCTTTCATCAAGGGGCCCCCGGGACTAGGCCTCGCTCTCATTAGAATGATGATACCAGCCAACAGGGGTATTAGCCCGGATGTGCCCTTTCCTCTGGGAGGGGTGTTGGCAAGGCCTGGGGTTAGAGGTCGGGACCTGGGACCGCCCAGTTGAGCTAGGGCTCTGCGGAGGAACCCGGGAGCACAGCCTGGGGCAGGGGTGACGACTGCTACAGAGAAGCTCCCGTCCTGCCTGCCCCTAGACCCCACCATGTGTGACCTTACTTCATTCCTCAGCTGGGCCTCAGTCTCCCCTCTGCCCAGCGGTGCCGTGTGCCGCAGAGTCACACGGTGCCTCGGGAGAGCCCCGTTAGTGCGGTCCACCACCATGAGGCCTGGCCTCCCCGCTGGGGTCCTGGGGCCGGGCCAGCCGTGAGCCCTCAGTCTGAGCTGCCTTTCCCCCTGCGAGGCCTCTGTCCCAGACCTCCCCCAGCCCCTCCCCTTCATGGCCGGGGCCAGGTCTGTCCTCGCAGGATGTGAGAGAGCCAGGGTGGAGCTGGGGACTGCCAAACGGCTCCCCACACCTCACTGCCTCGCTCTGGCCTGGGCGCTGGGGTCCCCCACCCTGTGGGATGAGTCCAGAGCTGGCTCAGTCCCCTAGGACCCAAGCCGCCTCCTCCTTGCTGGGCACAGAACCGCTAATTACAGCCTGTCCGCCGATCCTATCACCCATCCTGGATAAGATTCCGCGGGCGCAGAACGGAGATGCTGGCAGGGCAGGAAGGGCCAGGAGACTGGGTATAATCGTCACGGCGCCAGCCTGCCGTGCCTGCCGAGAGCTCTTGTCTGTCCGCCATTTGCAGGGGGAGGAAACTGAGTCCCATAAGGGCGGGGACTTCCCCAAGGTCGCCTTGGGGTATAGATAGGACAGGAACCCAGGCCTGATAGCCGGGAGCAGCTCTGAGTGACATCCTCTCCCTCAAAGCCTGGTCAAGGGCAACGGCAGCAAACTCTGTTCTCAGCTACGCATCACTTTACAGTTGATAAGGCCTGTTCCCGTGGCCAGGACAGCGGCGTGTTGGTCGGTGTAGATGGTGGGGTAGACTTGGAGCGAGAGGCGAGTCAAGGTCAATTGTGCCCTCCCACCCGCAGCAAAGCACCCAACACCCCCCCCCCCCCCCAACCCCCCCCCCCCCCACTAACCACGCCCTCCCCTTGCAGGGCCCCCGGGCCTCCTTTGCCCAGGCCCAGTTTGACTTCTCCGCCCAGGACTCCTCACAGCTCAGCTTCCGCCGCGGTGACATCATCGAGGTCCTGGAGCACCTTGACCCCCACTGGTGGCGGGGCCGGCTTGGCGGACGCATCGGCTTCTTCCCGCGGAGCTACGTCCAGTCGGTACAGCTGTGACCGGGGCGGGGGGCCAGACGGGGGGCAGAGCCAGGGGGCCGTCCGTCCACCAGACACTGAGGTCCCAGAGAGGGCGTGGACGCCCTGGCCCGGGGTCCCACAGGGCTCAGCCGAGCGACTGGGACTGGAACGTGGCCCCCCCTCACCTCCAGGCTCCCACTGCCTCACACAAACTGAGATGGGGCCCTGGGCCCCAAGGACCACTGCGATGCTCAGTGCCCACCCTCAAGGGGCGCCCCCAGGGTTTGCCTCTGGGCTCTTCCCATTGGCCGCATGGTGTCGACGGACAGGGGAACAGAAGCCGCACTCACTCCAACCATCAATGGCCCCGGCCTCAGGGAGAGTTGAGGGCCCCTATATGTGGGGGCTCCACCCGGGGAGGCATGGCTGACAGCTTCACCTGGGGCCGACCATCTGCTGGGCCTCCCTGCCCACCCTTGATGTGTGCTGCCTACCGGGAAGCTGGCTTAGTGGTGAGGCACCAGCAAGGGGCCCGCACACGTGTTGGCCTGGACCGATGGACGCACTCCAGGTGGAGACTGATTTCTCAGCAGCCCCGTGACTTCGGGCCCCACTGGGTGCCCAGCACCCACGCCCCACCAGACACTTTGGGGATGGCCCACAGGCAGCTGCTCCTCTCCCACAGGCCAGACATGATGGACAAGGTCCGAGGGCAGCCCGCAGGCACAGCCACTTGGGGGACCTGGCTGCTCGGGCTCTGGTTTGTTTAGGCCCAACTTCTCCTGGGACTGGGGCTTCTGGAGCTCGGGGAAGCTGTAGGCCAGCAGGAGGTCAGGGCCACAGCTGGACTTTGAGATCTAGCAGCATCTGAGCCGGCACCCTGGCCTGAGCAAAGGTGTGGGGCGTCCACACGAATGTGCCACCAGCAGCCGGTACTGAGCAGCCCCTGCCCAGGACCAGGGCACTTTGGGGAGCAGGAAGAGTGAAGGGGGGCTCCGAAAGTGCTTTGAATGCCAGGCTGATGGTGGAGGGGGCAGCGAGCAGCGAGGGAGGAGCCAGGAGCAGCTGGGGATGGGGACAAGGGTCCAGTGATGGGGACTCTCCCTCTGCCCAGAGCCGGCCAGAGCCCCTTCAAGCCCCAAGCTGCTCCTGACCTGGGCCCATGTATTCAAAATAAAAACAGGAAAATGAGTATAAGGATGTTTTTCAGAAATCTCATGTTCTTTGCATTTGCGACTACTTTGTGCTGGTTTTGAAATACAACCTTCTCTCTGGCCATTGGCCCCCTACTTTTTTAGGACTCCTGGGCACCGACCGGCTACGTAGTCGTGAGGGGAGTCCATACCTCTCTGGGCCTCGGCGTCCTCATTAGCGAAAGCGAGGTGGACCTGAGGACCCCAAGGGCTCCGGCCTTCTTGGCCACGGGGCCAGCGTCAGGCGAAGTAGGCGTACAAGAAGATGTTGACACACATGAGCAGGATGGCATTGAAGCCACACACACGGGCCCAGAAAGCGTGTCTCTGGGGTGCCTGGCCATCACCTGGAGGAGGCGGGAGGAGGAGAGGGAGACAGATGAGGAGCACAGGGCCACACCGTATTCCTACGTCCAGCGTTCCTTGGGGTGGGAGAGAGACTCAGAGCCTGGGGTCACACGCGTACCTGCTTTGGCTCCCACGAACACATCCGGAGCCAAGGTCCACCAGGTGAGGTTCTCCACCTGCAGAGAGCAATCGAGATGGAGACAGGGGTGTGCCCAGACCGGGTTAGGGGTCAGTGACGGAAAGTGGGCAGCTGGGTTCACAAGGAGACGGGTCAAGAGCTAGAAAATTCTCTTTTTATTTTTAAAGTTTATTTACTTATTTTGAGAGAGAGAGAAAGTGAGAGAGTGAGCGAGCAGGGGAAGGGCAGCGAGAGAGGGAGAGAGAGAATCCCAAGCAGGCTCCGCACTGTCAGCGCAGAGCCCAATGCGGGGCTTGAACTCATAAACCAGGAGATCAGGACTTGAGCTGAAATCAATAGTCAGACGCTTAACCGACTGAGCTGGAAGGCGCCTCAAGAGCTAGAAAATTCTCGAGTCACAGAGGGTCAGGGGTCAGAGTCAGGGCCCGGGGCAGGCTTACCTGAATTCCCTGCGGGCGGGGTGTCAGCAGGCTCCCAGCCGCCACGACGGCTGCGCTGAGCACAAAGAGGGCGACCGCAAAGTGCAGGTAGTGGATGCTGGTGAGGATGGATGGCCGCGTGTCCGGGTCGCCGCAGGGGGGGCAGGGTGCAGGAATTCCAGGACCAGCCGAGTGGCACCCAGGGCCAGCCCCACCATCAGGCCCCAGAAGGCCCCCTGGGGACTGGGAGGCAGGACAGGCGGCCGTGAGGGGGAGGCCCGGGCTCCCCCTGCACGCACACGGGCGGCCGGGCGAGGTGTGAACCAGACGCAGCCCATCGGTGGGAAGGGGACCGAGCCTGACCCCTCGCGCTGCCGGCCCCGCTCTGCCCACCCCCCACCCACCTGCTCATTGGCACGCGGCCAGAAGATGCCAAGGACGAAGACGGCGGTCACTGGGGGGGCCAGGGAGCTGGTCACTGACTGCATGTAGATGAAGAGCTGCCCGCTGTTGGAGTCCTGCAGCACCGGGATCCAGGCCACTCTTATGCCGATGAGCGCCACGATGACCAGCCTGCGGGCGGGCAGTGGGCGAGCTCGTCCCCGGGACCCTTCCTGCCTTCTCCCGCACCTCCCGCAGCCACGAAGACGCGCCCTCCAGCTGTCCCTGCCGCCCCAGCCTCCTCCCCGGCCTCTGCTCAGCTCCTCTGGGGATGTGGCCGGCCCTGCCCTGCCCCTCCCCACCCCCCTTCCAGGGCTCTCTGCAGCCTGCACTGTCGGCTCTGGGTCCGGCTCCTCCCTGGATCTCCACTGAGTCAGCCCTCAGGGAGCCCCCCCAGGGCGCCCCAGGCTCTCCCCTCTGTCTTCAGGGCACTCGTCCCAGGGGACACGTGGAGGTGTCTGTGGGTGTTTGCATGCTCCCTGTCCGGTGCCCCTTCTCGGCCAGAAGCAGCAGGAGGGGCCGGAGCCCCATCCGCTGAGCTCACGGCTGCACCCCCAGGTGCACAGTAGGCGCTCCGTAAACATCCGGTGGCTTCCTGAATGACCTGCTGCCCTCTCATTCCAGCCACACTGACCCTGTGGCAGATTCTCTAGTGCTGGTGGCTTCTGGCTGGCACAGTCCTCGCCCCTGTAGCCTGAGGCTGCTGACCTGTACCCGTCACAGGGTGGCCAATGTCTCAAGAGTACAAGGCTTAGGTCAGGACCTGGACTCCTCAGCTCTGAAGCCTGAGACCTGTGGCCAGAATGAGCCCCGCTGTCTCCCTCCCCTGTGTGGACCCCTCCTTTTGACCCCTGCCTGCCTCCCCTCTCGGCGCAAGACCTCCACCCTGTTCAACAGCCACCCATCAGACCCCACCTGAGTGCAGGGCACTGTGTGCGAGAAGCCCAGACTCAGTGACGAGTGGGCCCTGGTCCCTCTCCAGCTTGGAGAGCAGAGCAAAGAAGGTAGATGAGCCCATCACTCTGGCCTAAGGGCTGGGCTGAGGGAGTCCAGAGGAAGTATGGATCCTGGAGGGCTTCTAGGCAGAGGAGGCCCTCTTCCAGCCTTGAAGAGGTGTAGGGCCCGGCTAAGGAGACAGAGCTGGGGTCAGGTGTCCCGTCTGCTCCTCCGTGGCCGAGTGCCCCTTGCCCCTGTGTCTTGGGTCACTTGGACACCCCCAAGGAGGGGGGTGGGTGAGACCCCCTGGAGCCCAGAGAGGACAGCAAGGGCGAGAGAGGCCGTGTACGCAGCTGGGATAGATCCTTCCTGCCTACCTGTCGGCCCGCCTCCCTTTCTTTCCCTCCAGGCCTGAGGGAGAGGGTGGAGAAGGAGGTGCCACCTTGATTAAGGCTAATTAACCCCTAGCCTGGCAGGCAGGCGGGCGCTGCCCTCTTCAAAGGCACAGGCGGGCTCCCCGGACACCCAGCCCGCCCCGCCCTCCCCGCACCGGCTTCTGCGGCCCACACCGGACTCGGCGTCTCTGCGCGGGGCCCGCCTCTCCAGCCCCGCCTGGACTGCGGCCCTTGCCTTCCCCTGCTCTCCGGGACTTCCCCTTCCCACTCAGTCACCACCAGGCTGCCAGAGAGACCCCAGAGGCTGCTCCTTCTGCCTGGAATGTCCTTGTCCAATTCCTCCCCTGGCTGACCTCCTCATCCTCCAAGGCTCGGCTCAAGGCCCTCCTCCTCCAGGAAGCCTTCCAACCCTGTCCATCTTGTGCACATGCTGCTGTCAGGATGCCTGACCTTCTCCATCATTCCTGGGCTGCAGCTGTGGGGGGGTGGGGGGGGTGAAGGGCTTTGAGATTTCTCTGGGTCCCCCGTGTTGTTCACCTGGATGCAGGAGACCAGGGAGGCATCGGGCACTCCTTGCGGAGTGGATGACAGAGAATGGGAGACAGAGGGGGTAGCAGGGGAGGGAAATGAGGGAGCAAAGATCAGGGCCCCAGATGTGGGACTGTCACTTCCCCCAGGCCTGTGATGGCTCCTCTGGCCCCACCCCAACCTGATGAGACTGTCAGGGTCACTGGCATGCTCCTGCCTGTCCCTGCCCTCCCCCACCGGGCTTCTGGACACGCTCTGCTGGCCCTCTCTCTGTGAGTCCCATACCTCCTTGGATCGAGGCTCTGGAGACCCAGGACCCCACACAATCTAGGAAACACAGGTTAAACGGTGTTTTAAGCAGCGGGAGGCTGGAGGCGTTGGGGGCTTCCCTGTGTCTCACGAGGGAGGCTGTGAGAGCTGAACCCTGGCCCGACACCTAGTACTGGACCCTTTCCACTGCACCAAACTGGCAGCTGAGGGAACTGGGACTCAGAGAGGGTGAGCCACCTGCCCTGCATCACACAGCCTGGTGCCCCCCGGGCAGGCTGGCAGCGCCGGGGGTGGCTGGGGCTTGACTTGATGGGAGAGGTGGGAAGGAGGGTCAAGGGCACTGTGGCGGGGCGGGGGGTGGGGTGAGTTGGTACAGTGGGGAGACCAGTTCAGGACTTTGGCTTCAGGTGGGAACAGGAGAGAAGCCTGCCTCTGAGGAGGCCAGGAAATTGGGGGCAGCGGACATGGGGCCACTGAGCGGGCACTGAGGCTCCCCGTGTCCCAGACCAGGGCAGCTGGGGGGCACTTGGGTCTCAGGTGCCAGGATGCCGACCCTGGAAGGGCTTTGGAGGAGTCTTCCCGATAAGGGCGGGCTTGCAGGGCCACAGGGCCACTGAGGAGGGGCAGGGGAACCACGCAGGGGGCAGAGGAGGTCAAGGGGCCGGGACCTGCTGACACAGAAGCATCGCACAGGGCGGGAGGGAGGGGCTCCTTGTTTTGGAGGAGGCTGTGAGCCTGCGGATGAGCTCACACTCGCCCGCTGAACGGCGTGTCCCGACAGGGCCCTCCTGACAGCAGTGTGGCTCACTGACATCACTGGGCCACCTGCCTGGAGTTCCAGCAGAGACGCCGCCCAGAGGATGAGCGCCAAGGGCAGGGGGCCGCAGGGTGCGCTGGGTCAAGACACGCACCAGAGGCTGGGCCCCTCGACAGGACCCCGGACCGGCGGAGCTGGGGGGGCGAGGCTTGGAGGGGGATGGGAGGGCGGGAGCCGGGAGAGGGCCCGAGCAGACAGGCACGTGCACACACTCAGACGCCAACCTCTCATTACCCGTTGCTGAGTTCACCCCAAAGGACTCTCTGCCGAGTACAGGGAAGGAGGCCTGGGCCAGACACGGCCCCTGCCTGTCCTCGTGGGGGGTGGGGGGCATCAGGGAGACAGAAGGGCCACATGTCCTATGGGAGGAGTCTGACAGTGGTTCCCTGTGGGAGGTTTAGAGGGGAGAGGGGCTCATTACTTAGGGGTATCAGGGAGGGCTGCGTGGAGGAGGGGGACACTTGGGCAAAGTCTGGAAAGATCAGGGAGGGTCGTCGAGGTGATACGGAGGGGACACGGAGGGCTAGGAGGAGATGGGGACAAGGTCAGTGGGGCCAGTGGCAGCTGTGGCCTGAGTGCCGCCGTCTGAGAACTGGCTCGGGCCCTCCGTGGGGCAGCTGGAGACCATCAGGAGGGCCAAGGGCTCAGATTTTAGGAAGACAGAGAGATGTCCCGGATGATTGGGGAAGGGAGACTCTACCCAGCAGCGATGCC